CGAACAGATACAAAAGTAGTATGGATGATAGTACAGTCGTAAAAATATTTTGTGCGGTTTGTGCAAAACAAGGGGTCACAATTGGTAATCTGCCCGCATAATGCTACTAATAAAATGTGTGTTATCTGATAATTTTCAATCATATTTTGCATTGCAACCAACGTTCCAAATCAAATATTAATGCTTCTTTTACTTTGCTACCTACTTGTGTTGCATTTTATATATTAGATGGCCGAGGAGGCTACCAGGCCGGTTAAACGTCGATGAAGAAGGCCTACTGAGATGAACATACGGTCTTACACTACATGAGGCTCACCCCAGTATTGCTACCTTGGGCGTTCGACATAGAGCCACGCACCCAGACACGGTATTGTTCTTCTCATAATTGATTTTATCCAATTTTACTTGAATTTTTTTATAATATTTAATTATGTAATTTTTTTTTTTCAGGGAACTATTCTTGAGGCCTCATCACATCTGCTCATGCTGAAGGAGTGGCCTATTAATTGTACTAGGTCCGTGGATGGCTTATGTGCGGTTGGGTTAGATTGTGTAAGCTAGCTATAGTTTATCAGCTTAGACCATCAATTTCTGACTGTGTTGGTGGAAACATGCTCCCTACAAACAAATTCCTTTCATATACCTGTCAACAAGATGCAATTGAAGATGAAGATTGAGAAGAATTGCAACTACGAGCGGCAAGTACCATACGTTTATGTCTGACAGAGAGATTACGTATCATATAATGAATCTGAAATCTCTAGGAAAAGTATAGAAGAAAGTGGAATATCAGTTTATGTCGAAATCTCTGACAAATAAATTATATCTGAAGCAAAGACTGTATGGGCTAAAGATGCAGGCAGACACTGATTTGGCGCAGCACTTGAATGTCTTCAATCAAATAATCACAGATCTGTCACGGCTTGATGTAAGTATTGGGGATGAAGGCCGAATAATGATTCTGTTGTGTTCATTGTCTTCTTCTTATGAACACCTGGTGACTATTCTGACATATGAGAAATAAACTATCAAAGTTGATTAGATTACTGTAGCATTGTTGGCTTACAACCAGCGGAAGCAGAATAGAGGGGAAACCTCTCATGGAGACACTTTATATGTTAAGGGTAAGCAGGATCGTGGAAGGAAGGAGGAGAAGGAAAGTTCTGAAATGTGAAATTTCAAGTTAAAGCCTAAAGACAGAAAAACGATTCATTGCTACAAATGCAAGGACACGGAACATATGAAGAGAGATTGTCCAAAGCTCAAGAAACATTTTGATGAGAAACAAAATTTAGTGGGTTGAGAGGAGCAAAGGCGAGTTATAATTTTATCTGTGGATTTTTATCTATATGTATGATGTGTAACTCTATGGGCATGAACTGGATTCCTCTGAAATAGTGAATTCGCCGCTCTGCTCTCAGAGTAAGGTTCTCAGACAGAAGAGGAGAAATCTCGTCGGCTACGAAGAAAGATTTGGGGATTTGATAGCAGAAGTTCGAAGGCTAGGGTTTTCGACGGTTCAGAGGTTGGTGGCAGTTCCGATTTCGGCCCAGAGGAAGAAGAACTGCAGCAGCTCTTCGGACGGTTCGGCGAGCGTGACCAGGACGATCGTTCACGCGAAGCAGATCATTGGCGACAGGCAGATTGTTCGAGCGGGATCCAGATTTCAGTCTCGCGTGGAGGAGTTCACGAACCGTTTCGCGAATCGTCGCGACTGCGATAGATTTCCCGTGGCGCGAGCAGGCGAGGGTTAGCGACACCAGAGGGATTCGCGACACAGTATTCGCGGGTTGTTTATCGTAATAGGGGATTCGCGGGTTCGCAGAGGAGTTCGTGGTGCCAGGATCGGCGATCAGGATCGTGCGACAGAGAGTTCGGTCAGGCTATTTCTGCGAACAAAAGAACTGTAAGTTTGGTTTCACGCGAATCTATAGTCGCATGCGGGAAGGAGTTCCGCGGGAGTTCGGCGAATTAGGCAGTTTGGGGCATTCAGATGAAGGAGTTTGTTGCAGGATCAAAATTGTTCGCAAGGCAGACGGGCTCGTGGGAACGAACAGGTGCAAAACAGTTCGGATAAAGGGCTGCGACAGTTCTGCAAGTTCTGTTTCGGGAGTTAGAGGCATAGTCGCGGGATAGGCAGAAGTGTTTTTCACGCTTCTAATTCGCAGAAGAAATTGCGACAGGTGGAGTTCGAGGAATTCCGATATTTTGGGGGTCGGAGCAGGAACAGAGACGAGCGAATCGCGGTATTCGCAAATTCGGCAACAAGTTCGGTTCAGCCCCTAGCTGTAGAAGGAATTCTGAATCAAGGTTTTAGGAGAAGAGGCAGTAGAGAGTTCGTCAGTTTCACAGAGGAGAGTTCGGTGGTGTTCGGCCAGCGTGGTTAGCAAGTTTGTCACAGAAGGATTTGCGACAGTTGGTCTTGCGACAGGTGGAGTTCGGCAGGTGCAGGCGAAGCGAACAGACGCTATTATTCGCGAACAGTGGTTTCGCGAATAGTGGTTTCGCGAAAGGTTTTGCTCGCGGGACAGTCAGGACAGCAACTTAGCCGAGGTGTTAACGTGAATAGGAAAAGTGCTTCATGTGAAAAATTTGATTCACGAATCATAGCAAAATTGTAGGAAAATTGTTGCAATTGACAGAAAATTTCAGGTTTCTTTGAATTTATTTGCAGTGTATTTTTGTTTCGACATAAGACAGGAAAAATTCGTTGCAGGATTAATTTCAAATAGCAATGTCTGGTGTAAACTTCGAGATAGTGAAGTTCGATGAAACCGAAAACTTCGGATTGTGGCAAGCAATGGTGAAAGATTTGTTGGCACAACAGAGAATTTTGAAGGCTTTGCGGGTTACAAAACCTCATAATATGGAAGATGAGAAACATGATGTATCTTCCAAGCCTGTGAATATGATGCAGAGTGACAATTCAGATTGCAGTGATGGTGATGTACTTTCAGTTACAACAACTCAGTTGAAGGATGCATGGATTCTTGATTCAGGATGCTCTTATCGCATAACACCTAACAGAGAATAGTTTACTTCATACATGTTATCTGATTTTGGTTTGGTCTATTTGGGTGATGATAGATGTTACAATATTGTTGGTATTAACAAAGTCAGAATTAAGACGTATGATGACACTGTTAGAACATTATGTGAGCTCAGACATATTTCAGATTTGAAGAAGAATTTAATTTTCTTGGGCACTTTACATATAAATGATTTATTCCTAAAGCAAATGGGGATAGAGAAGCTATCAGAATTATAAAGGGTGCATTGACTGTGATGAAATTAAAGATCACTGGAGGTAATATCTATAAACTGTTGGGGAGTACAATTGTATGTGGAGTTCACTTTGTTGAATTATATGATGAAAATGCAGCTGATATGTTGACTAAGCCAGATACTATCAACAAGTTCTTGCATTGTTTGAATTTGTTGAATGTTTGCAATTGTTAGAAGGCATGGTTGCTCAACCCATTTCGGTGTAAGAAACTCCATGATGTTTTCATTTCTTCTATGGGGCTGGATATTCGCCAAGGTATAAATTTGTTAGGTATATGTATTTCTCCTAAGGAGCGAGATTCGTCAAGGTGGAGATTTGTTGGGTATATGTATTTCTCCTAAGGGGTTGTATATTCGCCAATATGGAGATTTGTTAGGTATGACTCATATACCAGAATTTGGAGTCTCTTATAATTGAAGAGGTGTGTCCCCTGGAATGAAGAGGAGTGTATCTTGAAATTGAAGAGGTGTGTCTCCTGGAATGAAAAGAAGCGTCTCTTAGAATTGAAAAGGTGTCTCTTAGGATTTAGTGGGTTGGGGGGAGCGAGGGCAAGTTGGTAATTTTTTCTGTGGGTTTTTTATTTATAAATATGATGTGTAACTCTATGGGTATGTAGCTAAACTCTTCTGAAACTGTGAAATTCGCCGCTCTGCTCCCGAGGATGTAGTCATATTTATCGAACCTCGTTAAATCTCTGTGTGTTCTTCTGGATTTGTGTCGATTACTGTTTTTCTTAGCACTAAATTCTCAACACAAGATGACAGTGACGTTGCAGGATGTGTCTATGATCTTGGGTGTTTGTGTGGATGGGTCCCCTGTAGTTGGGCATGTTATGGTTGGAACAAAAAAAAGATGACAGAATTAATCTGCTTGTTGTGATGAGGTGCCCGGTGTCGGGTGTTATATATCAAGATCCAATAAACCCCACTATTAGATCTGCTTTTAGAATGGGACAAGCTCATTCACAAACTTGCATGTCGTTAAGATGGCTCGGGTTGACATTTTTCTGGGATAGTTGCATTCGCC